TAAGTGTACCACTCTGAAAGAAGACAATTATGATAAACTATTTAAGGATATTAAGAGTGATTTGGAAAAATGGGCTAATTTGCAATTATCTTTGCTGGGAAGAATAATACTAGCTAAAATGAATATATTACCAAAGCTTTTGTTTCTATTCCAAATGATTCCCATAAAAATTGATAGAAATTTTTTTGATGATTTAAATTTTCAAATCTCAAGATTTATATGGAGAAAGAAGAAACTAAGGATTAAACTAAAAATACTTCAGGAGGCTAGAGAGAATGGAGGCTTTGGTGTCCCTGACTGGATGCTGTATTATCAAGCTTCTGTTTTAATGTGGCTAAAAGAATGAATAACTTTAAGAAATAAGAGAATCTTGTATCTTGAAGGGCATGATTTGCAAATGGGTTGGCATGCTTATATGTGGTATGAAAAGGCTAAGGTACATGGCTCTTTTTTAAGTCACTATATTAGGAAATCATTAATGTTGGTGTGGGAAAATTTAAAGACAAAATTGTATAATAAATTACCAAGATGGCTTTCACCTATGGAAGCTCTTGTATATCCAAATGCATTGAACTTTGAAGTGATCGTAAGATATGACAACATTTTGGATAATGATGGAGGATTGAAACTGAATCAAGGAATACAAGAACAAGAATCTAATATTTCTTGGTGGCATAAGGTGCAGAAACAATCGAGATATGCTAAAGACTATAGAATGTGGGGCTTTTATAAAGATTTAACAGCATTTGATCAGGTGATGCTTAAATCAGATGAGAAAATGATTAAAAGACTATATAATTTCTTACTAGGAGAATGGAAGATGAACAGGTTAAGGAAACCATGATAACATGAGCACAAAACTTTGGATATAATATTGAATTAGAAAAATGGCAAAAGCTGTGGGAGAGAAATGTTAAGGTAACATTAGCAACTTCATATAAAGAAAACCTGTATAAAATGTTTTATAGATGGTATCTATCGCCAAATAGATTAGCTAAGATGTTTCCAAATATGTCAAACGGATGTTGGAAATGTAAATATAAATTGGGTACTTTCTATCATATGTGGTGGACTTGTGATAATGCAAAAAAGCATTGGATTAAAATACATAAATGGCTTGAGGAAATGTTACAAACATCCTTAGCATTTAAACCTGAAGTTTTCTTATTAGGCATTATACCTGTTGATATTAGTAAACAAGAAATGTACTTGATTTTACATGTAATTACTGCAGCGGGGATTGCATTTGCTCAACACTGGAAAAGTGAAGAACCACTAACCGATGAACTGATCCTAAAAAAGATCTTGGATTGTGCAGAAGTGGACAGATTGGCTTTGTCATTGAAGGAGAAAGAAGATACTGATTTCTATCAAACTTGGGACCCTTTTTATTCTTGGCTAGAGAAATGGGACTTCGTATAGATTTAAATATGTTTTTAAGTTATCATAAATAGAAAAAAATGTGGGGGCTGACCCAGCAGGTCCGATGTTTCTGATGATTGAAGTTGTTTTTAGTTTTTCTTTGTTTTAGGGTTATTTTGAATAAAACTTATTATATATATATAAAAATGAATTGGGCCCAGCCCAAAAAAGTGAGCAATCAAAGAAAGACACTTCCACAGTAAACAGTATTGAAGCTACCGTAGCTTTTGAATAAGGCTTGGAATGTATGGAAAACATAAATGTTTGTGCTTGTTGCATTATTGAATACAGGGCACAATCCTATGTGTGTACAGGGAGAAAGAACTCCCCGTACTCGACAACAGTCGCTTTTCAGCATGGATGGCTATGTGCCCTTGATATAAAATCCATCTATTTACCTATATATATTTCATGCATCTGTCTACTTAGCTATTCATTTTTCTAACTACATATGCATGTGTGTGTATATTTTTACAAGACCTTAAAATTGATAGATTTTCTTACACTCAGAGAGTCTGCTGGAATCTTGATTCCAATTTTCATTCAGAAAAATAGTGTGATGCAGGTATCAACTCAGCTTGGGATACCTTCACTGCAGAGGTAAGCCATACATAAAGGTAGACTTCTTCAAGTTAAGAAAACAAGGACAAAGCACACACATGCACACACACACATGCACAAAAGTTGGACACTTTGGCATCACTGACTCTAATCCTCACTATTTAGGAAATTGGATGATGTGAGCCGCCCCGAGGCTTCGGCGAATGGGGCGGCATAAAAATGTTTTAATAAATAAATAAATAAATAGCTCAAACAAAAAAGCAAGGACCCAAGAAAGTAAAAATGTCCTGGAGAGTCACTGATAAGAAACACAAAAGAGCTGCTAGTTTGCATGGCAACGGCCGAATGGAGGTTGGTCGGCACTGCCTCCCAGTTCCATCAAGGCACACCCTGCACAGAAGAAACTCATGTTTGCTTTACTGAGTTCTTGCCCACTCCGAGAAGTACTGAGATGCTTCTAAAGGAGCTCCCTCAGTCTTCTGCTGGTCCTGCAATGCTCCTGCAGACTGGCTCCTCACAAAAGGGGTGAAGGTGAGGCAGCTACACTGCAGGCTACCCGGGACAGCCCAAGGGCAAGCTAGTGGAAGACGAATAGAGCAGTTTGGAAGGACAACTCATCCACTCAGCTCACTCCATGAGGCTAAGGCAGACGAAGCACTCACCTGTTTGTAGATGAGCTCAAAGTGTCCTGTGTTGCAGCTGCGATCATACTTGCGGTCAATGACCACACGCAAGGTATCCTCCTGTACACTGGCACACAGCCGGGTGGTGACTGCAGTGGAGGCTGCCATGGTGGGGCTGGCATTGATCTCGATCAGCCACGGTTGATAGTTTTCTCCAAAGAGGAAGTCTGCACCATACAGCTCAAAGCTGTTCTTACGGAACTCTACCAAGTCCTGCGAGGTCTGCATGGCGTGAATGATTGCAGCTTTCATGCCAGGCACAATCACCTTTAACCAGGCATCTGGTGCCCCCATCTGCCGCAGGTGGCCCTGGAACTGCTCCGAGGACCACATGTTGTCAGGAGGAAGCTCAGCGTGACGATTCAGAGAGTTCTCGTAGTGCTTCTGGATGGAGTTATTGCACAGGTGGATGGAGCTGGGTTGGGGAGGAGGAAGGTGGGCTCAATGAGCGGGAACTCGTCCGGTGCAGTGCATGGTATCTTTGGATTTGAAAGTGAGAGGTGAAGCTGCCATTCCAGCCACAGGCCATCTTGCCCAGTGCTGTCAACGCTGACGAGAAACAGGTCTCCAAAGCTGCAGAGGGCAGCCTGTCCCAGACCCATGCAAAGTTGCCAAAGACGGAACTATCCCAGGAGCATTTGCATGTAATGAGCTGCTCCCCATTCAAAAGTCCTCCCCATCTATGGCAATCAGGGCCCAGCCAAGACATTTCTCTGCCTGAAGTGAATGACAAGAGGGTGCCCTCCTATTCCACAGGCAGGTGGTGACAATGGTAGATTGATCTGCCTTCATTGCTGAGAAGATGACGCCTGGAGGCAGCAGGCTGACTCAGGAAACAAGGGGAAGACTGCTTCTCCCTGGCACATAGCCTTGCCGCTCATGCCTTCAGCTGCCTCCCAAGGTACGCAGTGCTAGGGCTGACCCTGATGGCAGCTGGAAGCCTGTATTTCATGCATGCACTCCACTGCTTTGAATTCCTGTGCAGGGTTCCTTCCCCAAGCGCCTGATTTCTCTTTTCCACTTGTACAGCACCCTCACAGCCCTCTGAACAAGCGCTAAGCCCCTTTAAGTGGCAGAGCATCAACTTCATGCTGATGTTCAAACACATATATACATTGTACATAATTCCCATTCCTCAGTCCTGGGTCCCAAATCCCTTCTCATGCCCTAACTACATGTGAATCTATTCCCCAACCCCACCATTTTCTTTTAAACTTTTCTCTTTTTCTTCTACACCCCCAGACACCCTTCTCCTGGGGCTCTACAGGGCCTCCTGGGTAAATATTCTGCTCCTCAGCCAACCCAAGGCTATCCTCTGGTGGCAAAGATGCTGTCCATTTTATGCTGTCAAATTGCTCTACAAGGCTGTCAAACAGAAAATATTATCTCCAGTCAAGGAATTTCAAGTGAACTGCGCTGCAAATGGAATTATATAACTAACACTCATTTTAGTAGCTGTTTTCCAAGGCCTCAGCCAGGGCTTTCCCAGAAAATAATTTCCCAATTCTCAAAGTTGGAGTTCAGAAAATATTTGGGGGCAATCCTGTAGATATTAGCATAAGACCATGAATGGATTGACCATAAGCTCTCAATGAAGTCTTGACAAGACAATCTACCACTGTTACCACTCACGATATTCCCTTTTTTTTTTTATATTGCAATTTATATCCTGCCTTTTTCCTACAAAGGGCTCAAGGCAGCTTACATCATTCTCCTCCTCCATCTACATGGACTACAAAGCTGGATCTGACCAAGAAGAAAACGGGCAAGGCAAAACTCACGTGTCCAAGTTGCGCAGGGAAAAGGGCTGTGTGGAGAAGCGGATGTAGCTATGCTGGTAGAACCAGATGGTCAGAGGGTTCCAGTCGGTCACCAGGAACCACTGGCGCAGGTCAAACTTGGTGCCAAAGATGAGCAGCGGAGTCTCAATGTATTTCTGCACCACCCATTTTCCATCCTTGACAATCATGGGGTCGCAGTCCACAAGCTTCACAATTTCCTCCAAGTGGTCCATACACATGATTCCTGTTAGAAAGTACTGGCAATGGGTATTGCTGACACACGCCAGCTGTAGCCACATGATCCCGTGATCAAGGCAGAGCAGAGTCAAAAGCTCACCAGCCCTTTCTGCAGACACTCTGTCTGGCTCCCTCCACCATTCAGAGGCAGCAAAAAACCAGATCCACACTTTCAGGGCAATGCACTTGTAGGATGGCTTCCTCTTCATACGCAGACCCTTTTCTCTTACCTCTGCCCCTGGACTTGGCTCCTGGCTTGACGATCCAGATGTTCCGGTCACCTTCCATGTCTAGCTGTGGGACGACCTTCATCAGCCGGTGAAGGACATCCTCACATCGTCTGACAAAGTTCTCCTTTTGCAGCACAAGCGCCCCTTCACTGCAATCACAAACACTTGGAGCAATGACCCCCGCAATCGTCCCTGGCCACCCTGCTCCAGGGGTCTCCAACATTATGTTTCACGCAACCAGCTAGTCTCCTTGCAGGTTTTCAAAATCAAAATCGCCATCTTGATTTTTGTTTTAGTTCTCAAGATTTTATTGAAAAGGAAACACCTGACCAGGTAGGTGACTTTGGGTCAGTCACAGACGTTCAGCCCAACTTATCTCATCGGGTTGTTGTGGTGGGGATATGACTGAGAGCAGGGGGAGGAGAATGGTGTAAGCCACTCTGAGTTTGCATAAGAAAAAAGTGGCACATAAAAGCAGTTAATAAATAAATATTAGGATTTAAAAGAGGTTTGTTTGTGTTAGAGTTCAAATCCCGACTTCTGTCTTATAGTTATTTATTTTATTTGTTTACATGTATTTATAGGCCGCCTCTGATCGTTGAGGCCTTCCTAGGCGGCTTACAATGCAAAACTTACATTTAATGTAAAAATGTAAAAAAGTACATGATTAAAAACCAATTAAACCATAAAACCAATTAAAACATAATGAATTAAACATCTATAAAAACATTAAAAAGGGCCACAGAATACAGGCTGCATGTTAAAAAATTTCCTAAAAATATATTTTTAGGTTCTTAAACAAGTTGCTTGAGAAAGTGGGTGTCCCACTGGTTTGTCTTTTTTAGAACTGAGTGCATTGTGACCAACCATGTTCACTACGGCAGTCATTTTATGAATGAATGAGCCTCCAGCCATCATGGTAGCCATTTTGTGAGAGTGCCCACAGACCTTCAATATTCCAAAAGTGTCTGTTGATTCAAAAAGGTGGGAGATTCCTACCTTACTCTATTTGAATAGGAAATTATTCATGACACAGTGTACATCATGCTCAATCACAGCTTTTCTTTTAGTGTGTTGGGGAAATACTATCTAGAAATCAGCAGGGCCCATAGATCCTGGAATGTTGGTTTTAATGAATTCTGAGCATGATCATTCTTTGACGAATAGGTATACAGCCCTAAGAAATTACAAAGAGAAATCTTAAGATCTGAGGATTTCCAACCATAAAGCCTTTGACTGGCTTCAGACAACATGATAACCCATACTCAAGGGCTGAATGTTGGTTGTTCTTAAAACAGGGGTTATCTGCTGTCTGAACCCATGATTTGTTGGCTATGAACAGCAATCAGTTCACAACCCAACAACAAACTGTGGGTTCTCTTCATGGGTAGTGGTGGTGTTACTTATATTTCTGTATTGCCCAATAGCTGAAGTTCTTTGTTTATGGTTAACAAACCATGGCTTATTATTATGGCTGGATTCAGACAACATTTCAACAACAAACCGTTGTATTTCCCCATAAGCTTTTACAAATACCCATTTTATATCCACCAGTTCATTAGAATCAAAACAATATTTCAAATTCATTTGGGGGCAAGTGAGAGGCAAGCAGCAGGAAAGTATATAAATGGGCAAAATGGCCAATATTTTTAAAGTATTTCTCATATTATAAATGATATGCAGAATTTGGCATCTTTCCCACCTTCCAACTCTTGAAAGCTTTCCTTTTCAAAGACAGTTTCCAATGCTCACTACTATGTGAGGAAATGAACCCCTGAAAGTGTGCAGAGCCTGTCTGTCCAATGTGTAGGAATAAAATGAGCTTTCCAGGGGCCAGAATACTCAGCCAGGAAGCCAAATTTCTTCGCTCAGTAGAAACACCACATTTTGTGGCGCAGAACTCCAGGTCTCCGGTACTTACTGCACTACTTGGTAGTAGCCATGCAGAAATTCTTCCCACTGTGCCTTTGTCATTAGCAGGGGAGACCCAGATTCTCTGTCAATGTCTTGATGCCTCAGGCTGTTCAAGTGCTCCTCACAGACATGGATGGCCGTCTCAATCAGCTGCGATGAGAGAAGGGCCCCTTTCTTCCGACCGATGCACTGCTTGGCTTCTGTAAACGAGAGGCTGCTGAGCCAGTGATGCTGAACATGTGAGGCAGGGCTGCCTGCTTGTGGGGGTAGTCAGAGAAGTTGTGCCTGGTGGAATCAAAGCCACTAAAGATACACCAGTGCCACAAACATTTCTCCAAACAACGCTTCACTTGGCTAAATGTCACTGTGTTCGATTTCTCACCTGAACATCTCCAGCCAGTTGTTCTCCAAACATGTTGGACTACAGTGTCCATCATCTCCCAGCCAGCATGACTATGTTGGCTGAAGAGTGATGGGGGTGGTAGTCCAAGATATCTGGAGGGCACCACAGTGGACAAGGTTGCCAAATTAGCATCATTTGAGCAAGATAGTTCTGGAACGGTACTCATACTTGTCCGATGTAACGAAAGCAAAACTTCACGTATTCCTTAAGACAAATCTTGCTGCATGTGTCCTTATGGACTAGAACCCACTTTGAGAGAGGCTCAAGTGAACAACTTCACAGCATGTTCACATCAAGGATGCAAAACAATTGTTGCTTCATTCCATTCTGTAAAGCGTACATAAGGCGGAATGTTCATTCGCATACTCTGTTTTCTCTTCCCCATGAAGAAGAGTAGGCTAGACAGAGGGAGTTCACAGAAGCCAGTTCACAGAAGCCAGAGTTGTTGCAGGACATTTTTGTCATGTGACACTGTCCTGCCCTTTCCAGAGGCGGCTCTAGGCAATGATGTCTTTCCCTTATAACCTTCATAAGTTTCCCCATCATTCTTCCACCATTTTTCTTGCTGCAAAATTTTTCCATTAAGGATTGAAAGACAGAATAACTGCATGATGCCTTCTCATGGGTAGTACCATACACTTTCCAGATATGTTGGGCTGTGACTTCCATATCCCACTGAGGATTAAGGGAACTGGTCCAACACTTCTGGAGGGTGACAGGTTGGGCAAGACTGGTCTAGAAGTCCTTCATGTTAACGGCTCATCAGCCACATTCCAAAGGATACTACGACAAGAGACTTCCAATTTTAAGGTGATGCTAAGGAGTATTTGTCCACAAGGAAGGGTCACTTCGATGCCTCAGAATGAAGACAAAGCTTCAAGGAAGGACCTTGTTATGACTTAGGATCATCCTGTTGTCTCAGTTAACATCCTGTGTTTCCCTTGCTAATCTAGCCATGAAGGAGGCACATTCCAAGAAAGCTTCCACTTACCTGAGGACACCTGGTCATTGGGGGACTCATTCTGATCGGCATCTGGTGCTGCCATAAAATAAGGCTCATTCCAGTATTGTTTCACCATGACCTTAAGAAGGCTTCTGGCTGCAGTGAGCTGGAAGTCTTCTACCGCAAAAAGGAGAGAGAATGCATCATCCCTGGCTTTATGTCTTGGGTGAATTTATTTCAGCTTCTATTCTAAACACAACCCAAGACATAATTCATGCACAGACAAAGAATATTCCATTTTATGCTGCATAAGAGTAGCAATTCTGGGTGCTTCTGAATGAGGTGTTTATCATGCCATCATCCTGCCTCATTCCCAGAATTTTCCAGGGAATGTTTTTTCCACTTTCCAGCCTGCATTTTCTGTGTTTTTTTCTTAAAGAAAAACAGTTTGGGGTTGAGGTGGGAGATAAAAGAGCTGCAGAATGCCTTCTAACTGTTAAATAAGGACTCCTATATCTGAAAGCAACTTCTTCACAGGAGTTAATCTTACTCAACGTGCAATAATAGGCATGCTATGTTGAAAGATGTAAGCTACCTTTAATATAATAATTTTAATTGGGAATATCTTTCAGTTTTTATTGTACAGTATTTTATAATGATTGTTTCCTGCTTATCCTGAGGCAGGATGGAAAGAGTCTGGCAGATGGAGAAGGAATTACTAAGAATGCATTATTATGCAAGAAATAGATGCATAAATTACTATATAAAGTGTTTTTCAGCCAATTCTAATTTTATTTTATTTATTTGTTTTTCAATTTATATCCTGCCTTTTTCCTACAAAGGGCTCAAGGCAGCTTACATCATCTCTTCTCCTCCATCTTATCCCCACAACAACAACCCTGTGAGGTAGGTTGGGCTGAGAGTCTGTGACTGTCCCATTATGATCCAGTTGGCTCCATGGCTGAGTGGGGACTGGAACACAGATTGCCTGAGTCCCAATCCCATGCTCTTAACCACTACACCACACTGGCTTATTAGGATGAAATTGCATCCAATTTTCTGAAGAACTTCAAAGCACTTGGTTGAAGATATGTTATTTAGGCACTGAACGAAGTGAATGAGAACATCAAATACTTCTTTATGTTGACTTAATTAAGCTCTTGAAAAAACAAGCTACTTCCACTCCAAAGTGGAGAACAGATCCAATCATCCCACAAGGAAAGGACCAAGAGTCCCAGTCACCCATCCAGAAAGGGGATGATTGACTGAACAACCAACCCTTGGAAAAAGAACAGAGACTTCCACTGTTTTCCAAAAGAAAGGTGAAAATATTTAGGGAAGCAAATGTGTTCAGGACCTTATCTGCTTCGCTACTCTGGACAATCCCAAGTCCTGCCCTGGCTTTGCCATGGTTAGCTGGGAGACACCTTTACAAAGCTCCTGTTGTACTCAGGCTTAAGCAGCCTATAGAGGTTTTGGAGTACAGCTTCCATAATCTCCAGCCAGAAGGGCCAACAGTCAAGGATGATGAGTGCTGTAGTCAAAAGCATCTGGGACACATGAAGGTGCCCATCCCTGCACGTACACTGTTCACAAAAAGTATGCCTCAGACATGGGAATCCTTTATTTTGGGCTATGGCATCTCGCTCCTTGAAGGAAGGGAAACCCAGAGTTTCATCACACTCTACAGTAAGGGTGGGCAGAATGTCAATTTCCACGTTTCAGACTTCAACTGCCAGCATACCTGATCATTGGCCATGGTGTCAGGTTCTTCTGGGAGTTGAAGTCCAGAATATCTGTGGACTGACCTTCTGCCCTCCCTTGTTCTAGAGCAAGATGAGACGCTACCCTTCCCTTCCTTCAGGGTGAGAGATGCTGTGTCCCAAAATAAAGATTGTCACATTCTAGGCACGTATTTATATTTGTGGTATGTGTTAGAGTGCAGGCCCTTCAGATGCCCTGAATTACAACTTCCATCAACTCCCAACACTGAATGTCTGGGTTCACCCACACCCACACACACACCCCTGCAGACCACACTGGGAAGAAAATAAACTTGCCAGTTTGCTGCTGATATTTAGCAGCAAACCATTCTGTACAAACAAGCAAGATTTGCCTACTTCAGTTCTCTGTAATCACTCTAAAGTGATGACCTAGTAACCCATTTTTTTCATTTGTAAAATTTCTTTTTTAAAAATTGGGTCACAGTATAAGCCAGCAGGGGCCACACCAGAGGGGGCACATGGTCTATAGGCCACACGTCACCTGCCCCGCTCTAGAGGCAAGGAGTTTCCATCCCACCCTCCAACATGCATCAGCAGTGGAAAGCACTGGGAGCACTGGGAAGAGTTCTCACCAATAAAGGCATGTTTTTCATCTTCCGCTCCAAGACGGTAACACCGTGGGAAAAACGTATCAGCATCGGCTTGGTCAAACCACGGGAGGTTTCGTAGGTTCAGACATAGCCCCACCTGGGAGAGAGGAAATACCTTAGCAACAGCCACTTTTCTGGACTCCCCGCCACACACTGCTTTGTCTAGATCTTGAAGGCTGCTGGATCCAGATTTCTTCCCCCACATCCTTAATGGCATACGCACTCCACTCATGTGTTCCAGGTATTTGTTATGGAACGGCCCTGGACCCACCTTGGTGGTGAAGGTGCCTGCTCTGGCAAAGTGATTCATCATCTGGTCCTTGCGCAGGAAGCGGCAGTCGATGACGTCACGCCGGTTGGTCCAGATGAAGTAAGGGATCTGGTTGCGAACCAACCTTGACTGCCGGCAAAAGAGGAATGGCAAATACTAAAGCTGAACACCTAACGCAAGAGCATAGTGAAGATGGGGGACTGGCAGCTGTGAAATTGGTGATGCTGAAGAATTTCGGAGGAGGATCTATGAGGACCACGTAGGGAGAGGCTGTGTTGCAGTGGTCAGGGCAGGCGTCCCCCCACGTCACCTGTGGAGACCTCCAACATGACTCATGAAGCGCTTCACTCTCTGTCTCCTTCAGAAAACACTTAACTAAAAACCTTGAAAGACTCCAAGGTGCCAGGTCCTGTTTCTGCACCTGCTCAAGTTCAACCGTTGATGGCCAGGCAGAGAATGAAAGAGTTTCTTCCTCACTGTGCCCAATCTTCTGCCCACCAAGAATGTTCTCCTTAATGTGCTCTCTCTCCTCTCACAGTCCGTGGCCCCCCAAGTCTCTCCTTCCCCTTTCCTTGCCATTTCCCTCCCTCCCTCATCCTTTGCCTGCTTCTTTCTTTCCCTCTCTTTCTAAAGTCCAGCATTACTTTCTCTACCCCGTGACTTTCTACTTTTCCCTCCCGCTGAGAATATAGCCCCATTATTACACATACACACCCCCCCTACTTGAAACTCACTTTTGAGTAGCCAGGCCCCCATGGTAGACATTGTGTGTCTAGACACATCCTTTGGGGAAGCCATTTTGTGAGGGTGCCCGCAGCAGTTCCTCAAATCCCCAAACGTGTCCTTGTCTCTAAAATGGTTGAAGACTCCTGGCTAGGGGGCCTGCCTAGCACTGAGGAGTCCCAGGGTTCAAATACCTGCTTAGCCATACTGCCCACCAGTTGCTATCTTTTAGCCAAACTACCTGCACAAAGATTTTGTGAAGATAAAATAGGGTGGGGATGGGAAACCATTGAGGAAGGATGGGATAAAATTCTAACAAAAATGAATGCAGCATTTGAGGGGTGGATGAACTAACCATGAGACTATAGGTACCATCAGAGTCATCATCCTGCTCCTCTTCCTCTTCCTCTTCTTCATCTGTGAGAGGAAGGAGTGGAAAACATGAAGTGGGAGAGCTACAATAGTGGGTGTCCTGCACACCCAGCTGGGCATGCGGCTGTGCTCCCACCCACTAACACACTTGCCTGAATGCTGCTGCCATGAAAGTTTTAATTAAAAACCTCCTGCTTTTGCAGGACAACAATTTACACCATTGCACTCAGAAGGCTGTCCAGTTTCACCTGGAATGTCACAGTGCTTCAGTTTTGTCACACGGGAAGCCACCACAAGCCAGGCCAGGCCACCTGTGCGGCGAGCTCAGTCTTCTCTACTCTGACAGACAGCAATGTTCCAGGTTTTCAGGCAGGAATCTTTCCCAGCCCACTTGCAGGCATTTGTGATTGCGCCCGAGACCTTCTCTACACAAAGCAAGTGCTCCACCACTGGCCCAGGACGTTCCTCAAAGGAATACTCAAAATCAAAAGACAGTTCAAGTAATAACTGTGTAGAACTTAAGAGGCATCATGTTTTCTCTGAGGAAGATTACAGTGGGGTCGTAGTACACAATTGTTGACCAAATTAGGTTTGTGTCCTGGTGTGCAAAATGCCCAAAATATACAACAGGGGAAGGTTTTCTCTTAAAAAAAATATTCTTGAGACTCACTGGCTGCTAACTAATTGTTCCAGATGGTGCACCTGAGAAGCCTTCAGCTGGCCCTTTTATACACTGATCATTACAAGATTACATGTAACACAGTTAACACCTTCTAATAGGTCACAGAAATAAAAATTTACAATGGCATGATTTTTCCACTTGTGTACCAAAGCAGAAAGAAGATGCTCCAAAGGATGGGGTGTTATTACATGGAAGAGGAGGAAGATGGGGTGCGTTGGTGTGAATTGCCCTTCATCTGAGTAGCTGTTATCTGTCAAGTGTCAACTAGTTTCAGCTACATTTCAAAGATGCACGAATGCTGCTTTTTGGAAAAGAGGGTTCTTCTCTGGCCCAGCTACATGTTAATGTTTGCATGATTCTACCTATGAAAGTTATATCTATTAACTTGTACATCACAACAATTTTTAATGAACGTTTTATCAAAGTTCTCAGGTTTGCTGCAGACTAATGGAAGTAGGGCAGGGAAGGTTTGAACTTTCTCTGCCACCCTTCCACATCCTTTGTTACTCATTGTATCCATTACATTGATGTTTTTCTGATGAAAAAAGCAGGTGAAATATAAGGGCTTTTGCGCTTTTAGCCAAACAGTCTATTCTTATTTTAGTAGCAACACCATTTAACTGCTGCAGCCTCCATCAGCGTAATTCCTTTGCTGTTCAGCTATTGGTGTTTTCTTTGTTTCGTTGCCAACATGAAGAAAAACACAGTTGCTACGGTGTCACAACTTTAGGCAGTACACTGAACTTTTAAAGTAACTAAGTGCTGCCCTGGTGGCACCTGGAGGGAGCCTGGCCTGCCATGGGCTGGAGGGACTGGCAGCAGCAGAAAGGGACAGCGGCAGGCACTGCCGCTGGCTTGCGTGAAGCCAGGTCTTGGGCAAGAGACACCATCTTCATTTCCCAGGATGCTTATAGGCCCAGAGGCATTCTGAGGATACAAAGATGGCAGCTGCTGCAGTTGCCTAGCCTAGACTGTCAGAGTGAGAGGGCAGACAATGTTTTAAAGAGGTAAAATAAATACAGTAAAAACAAAAAATGGAAGGTTATATCCAGTTAAGCCCTTCCACTGGTGGAACGGCTTCAGTCAGTGGAAGGGAGAATCAAGCAATCCCCTGCACCCCCCACTGGCAGCCTCAAAATCTGTTCTGGGGGCTGAAGCAGGGAAGGAGGGGAAAGCCCCACGGCATAGCAGGCAGGACTTCACCAAGGGGCGGGCTCTTCAGGGCCCTGAGCCCCCGCATTTGCCCCCCCCCCACTGATCACTAACCCCAGGCTTAGCATGAGGTGGTGTTGAACGGTGCATTTTAGACACAGACCTAACAGGGCATATCCCACTATAATAATAATTTTGAGAAACATGAGTTTGCAAGAGTAAGCAACAGGAATTGTGACTCCACCTGACCCACAGCTGCTCTTTTACTGCCCCAGCGTATGCCACTGCTGATAGTCAGGGACCCAAGGACTGCACTGACTCCTTTGCAAGAACACCAGATTAGGTTTTTATGTCACCAGGTTCATTATAGCCAAGTTCATGGCTTACATCCTAGAGTACGACTCCATTCTATGAACGCCTAGCCAGAAGGAGTTGGGTATGCAAGACCCCCGACAAGACGGAAAGCTTGCAGAGAGGTACAAGGAAAGAGACCACCAGACGCCCGTGTTCCTGCAGGCCTCACCATCATCAGGCACATCACTGTCATCTCCGTCCTCCTCATGCTCCCCATCAGGGATGCGCTCCCGCCTGGAGGCAGCTTTCGGCAACTTGGGAAACGTTCTCTCCACCCAACCCCTGCCAAGCAGGCGCCTCCGGATCACGGGGTAAGGGCCATGCACCATGAAGATCTTCCTTTGCTAGGAGTCAAGGGGAGAAAGGATGGGGGATTAGCCACTTCCTGCTGTGGGAGAGAGGCTAGGCAGGACCTCTCTCCCCCAGAGCAATACTCTGGAGAAAGGGGCAAAGGAAGCAGAGAGTCAAACAGGGAAGTACATTGAACTCCACATCTGTCACCTTGATGGCCCTCTCCACATACTGCCGTGCTTGTTTCAGGCGCTCCGGGTTTAAGGAAAAACTGAAGCTATGTTGTGCACGCCCATCTGTCAGAGAGACTGTGCATCCTGGGGAAAGAGAAAATTGTGTGGGTGTGTACATGGGGGGCAGGTGGCAATGGCTAGGTATCCCAAACTTGTGACCTGCAGCATTCATCTCAAGCAGAATCCATCTGCCCTCCCACTTTTTACTAATAGTCAGGAAGTCGAGTGAGGCAGGGATGAAGGTCAGCCTGCATAGGCAGCAATTACACATTTTCAGCCACAATCCTATGCATGTTTACACAAAAAAAGGTCCTACAACTCCCAGTTTGGCCCAGCCAGCCATATTGGCTGAAGGATTTGGACATCACAGGACTTCTTTCTGTGTAAGCATGGAGAACACTGCAACCTAGTGGAAGTAAAATCCAGGACCAAGGTGTAGGAGTGTGATGGAACAAAATGATCAAGGGGCACAATCAATTCCCTTGCATGGATATATTACAATGTTTGAGCCTTTTGTTTTGTTTCAAGAAAAGGCAAATAAGTAGAGGGCATGACAGAGTTCATAAAATTATGGTCTACAGAAAGCAGTGTTTTTTGCCCTCTCTCATAATGCTACACATGGTGGGGGAATAAGAACAGACTAAAGGCAATACCTTCTCATGCAGCACATCACATGTATTGTAAGCTGTCTAGGAAGGCCTCGGTAGTTATAGGCAGCCCACAAATACATGTGTAACTAAATAAATAAATCACTGAATTAAGGAATTCACTATCACAAGATGTGGCGAAGGCCAACAATTTTCAGTACAATCTGATGGCCACTGGACAGCACCTAGATGCACATGTAGTTTTTCAGATTCCCAGCTATGAGGCTGGAAAATTGCTCCAACCCTTTAACTGTGGCTTCCCCTCCTCTGCCTCGAACACAGAAATTGCTGCATCAGTTACTACTCCAAGACTGTCCTTGGGGAAGGGCTTTTGGGGGTGTTCCAAGAGGCAAGGTGGGAAGGAGACTGACACTGCCAAGGTTTGATCCATGCTGGCAGTGCCTCGGCCTCCTTCACTCTTACTCCAAAATGCCACATCTAGGTAGCTGATTTTGGTCATCTAAATGTTTTGCAGAGGAGAGGAGACTGGAGGTGACATTTGCCCTCCACAGGATGCCCATAATCCTCTGAGTTCAGAGAAAGATGAGCATCCCTAGAGGACTGTGCCCTTGGATGACTTTAAAAGGGGATTAGACAAATTCATGAGGAGAAAGCTACCAGCAGGTACTAGCAAATAATTTATTTTGTTATCACACTTATAGACCACTCAATAACCAGATCTTTGGAAATTGTACAGGTAAACGATAAGCATGAAATACAAAGAGAGAATGATAAAAAGAGCACAAAATTGGGACTACAAACTACCTCCAGGATCAGGGCAACATGCTCTGAATTTCTGTTGCTGGAATAATTTAGGGGGAGGGACACTCATATCCCGATTTTGGGGTTCCCAGGGAGCTCTGGTTGGCCATGAAGAAACACACGAGGCAGGGCCAGGCGGCTTTCCATCTTACCCGGCAGGGCTCCTTCCGTGTTCATAACCAGAATGCACTTGGTGGCTGGGCAGAGGGGAGATTCAGAGGCTTTCCTCTAGTGGACAAGGAGAGCACTAACCGCTGGTGTCCTGGGTCTCTCCTAACACAAGCGTGCATTATTCAGTGGGACTAGCAGTCTGCTTGACATCCAGCCTGGGAGTCACTCACCTTCTGGTCTGAACCTGCTGGAACTGGGAGCCGTAGCTGGCTGGGGGCGAGTGCGCTGTAGACCTCTGTGTTCAACACTGGGGCGATCATCTCCATCAGACTTTGCTCTGCCAACTGACGTTTGTTTTGTTTTTAAAGGGCAGGATCAAATAGCTCTAATCCATATTAGAGCTCATCTGGTATATGGTGACATTCAAAAAAGCAAAGCCTGACCATGCTATGTCCTTCTAAGCTTGTTTAGATGTACTTGTCTGAACCTGGCTCTCTGGTTTAAAGAGAAATTCCTAGACATTTAGGAATCTAGACCAGAAAATCCAGAGAGGGGGCTCAGGACACCATGATGGTGCCACATGGGCTTCCCATTCCAGGCACGCAGTCTTATGGGTGCCTGGCCAACTGCTGGTGGGGAAAAAGGAGCAAAAGGGCTCACCAAGCCCTGAAGGGATCCCATCCCTCCTGTGCACAAAGATAGACCATATCTATAATAACAAAATAGATATGTGCCAATTGGCAACCTCTTTTAGGTAATCTCAGTTACCCAAAATGGATTGTCTCTCCCTGCCTAACAGTTAAGCCACGTAATTGGCTTCACCTCTACTTCCTCTACTCCAATCACAACAGGAATCAAATAGAAGCATTGCTAGCTATGCTGCATGTCTTAAACCAGGAAAATGTGGAACAGGATCACCTGGCAGTGACCCCACCCCAACCCCCTGCAAAGGTTGGCGCAGCAACCACACTGATCCGTTTCAGTGCACAGCGCCTGCACTTCTGACCTGACAATAGTACAGATACATGTGACAACATAAGGATTGTCCAAGTATGGCATACACCAGCTTCAGATGGGATGGTGAAATCAATGCTCTTCAGATGTTTTGGATGTAGAAATTCTGATACTGCTTTCTTATAATTTTCACAGTTGATTGGTGGACCTTGGGCCATTTCTTGCCACAGTCACCATAATTGTGTGCCCTCTTAAGTCTCTTTGCATTAGATTGTAGGGTCTGGATGTCTGACCCCTTAAAACTTCACTGGAAAGGGCCTGGGCTCCTAAACTGAAGATGTCAACCCTTACAGATGAGATGAAAAGCTCATTTCATACAAGATGTAAAGCTAATAGGAATTTTCCAAACAGAAAATACAATTTTATCTGTGTAACTGTTTGCATAAACTTGGATGTCCAAAACTATTATGATTTATTATTTTATGATGGAAGTTATAATTCCATGATAATTTCCAAAGCCCAAATGGAGATTTAATAAACCCACAATGCAGGACTCTCCTGTAAAAACAATCTCAATGAGTCAGAGCAAAAGTTCCTTATACAGTGGTACCTCGGCTCATGAATGCCTTGCTTCACAACCAAATTGGGTCTCAAACAAACATTTCATGAAATTTTGGGTCGCAAACTCCGCATTGGGTGGCAGCCAAGATCGCAGCCATCTCACCTCTCCCCCCAACGAGTGAGGAGATGGCCGCAATCACAGTTGCATCTGTGCAGGGAAGACGTACGTGATCATGGGCGCCCCCAGCACCATCGCGGCCATCTCCCCACTCGGGGTGGGGGAGAGATGGCTGCAATCGTGCTGGTTGCGGGGCGGGGGAGAAGGCCGCGATTGCACCTGTCTTTCCTGCAGGAGCGCACCTGCGATCACACCCATCTCTCTGTGTCATCGCAGGCAGGGATGACAGGCGCGATCGTGGCTGTGCTGGGGGGGGTGGTGAGATGACTGCGCTTGTGCTCAGGGTGGGGAGGGGGAGATGGCCCTGATCTTTGTTGTTCTTTGTCACTTTGCTTCACATTTTTCTGATTAAAAAAAATGGTTACAGAATAGATTATTTACACTGAACCTTATGGGGAAATTAAACTTGGCTCACAACCAATTTGGGTCACGACCAGAGTCCTGGAATGGATTAAGTTTGTGAGCCAAGGTACCACTGTATTATGTTTAACTAGCGGGCAGTAAGAAGACAAGTAATTCTCAACTATAGGATCTAAAAGCCCTGTCCATATACCTATGCACAGTCTTTTCAGCTCCACTTTCCAGAGGTAGCTCCAGCCCCCACTCCCAGGTTTGGGCAGGTTTCTGGAGCAGCATTCCATAAAGCAGGATCAGTTTTTTTTTTTTTTGCTTGGTCTTGGACTTGGATGGATTGTGGATTCCTTGCTGATGAATCCATTCCACCTTTCCTCAAGCTTGCTTCTTCCAGATGTTTTAGCCTACAATTTCTATCAGCACCAGCCCACATGGTCAATAGCCAGAAATAGAAGAGTTATTGTCCAAAACATCTAGAAGGCATCAGGTTGCAGAAGACTATCTTACTCAGTTCACTTTTACTTCCCATTGCAGACAGGAGTCACAACCACATCCTTATTTAAGGGAAGGATTTGGTCTCATTGCAAGATGAAAGAGGCTCTCCAGCCAGCAGTCTATATGGTCTTTGCCCTGAAGACACCACTCTGTCCTGAGACACATTCCCATCTTAGAGAAGCTGCTACCTTACCTCCTCTTCCAGGCCTTCTGCCCCCTCCGGTGTCACGGTCCCTTCCAGCTTTATGCTTTGGGCCTACCTGTGACAGACCAATAAAAATACTGAGCTGCCCAGTTTCCTTCAACACTAAGGAGCCCGGCCTCATAGGTTCCTTTGTATCACCCTATTCTGGGAGCAGCTACAAGTGACACAATAAAGGACAACGATCAATGACCCTAAAAAGCCCTGTGATCTGTTTCGTCTAGGTTTCGCTCTTCTTTTAAGGCCGAATCCATTTTGGTGGCGGAAATGCATCCTGCCAGGCCATTCACCTAAATGCCCTTTGCTAAGTCTTCCTGGTCCACTCTTGCCTTTGCCTACTGTTTGCTACCAATACAAGTAAGATGGACAAAGAAAACAAGCCCATCATTTTATGTGTGACTGCAACTTCTAAAAAGCTAAGCTGGCAAGGCTAACCACTGATCCTATGTGGTTTACACTGCTGCTTTACAAACATGGAATCTAAGATATAGTATTTGGTATCCTGACAAAATTAGCTTTTGTTTTTAAAAAGTCCACACTGTCCAGGTCTGGAGAGAAGCTTGTGAATGTATGGGTGGTATGTGGGATTAAAAAAAAGAAGTCAGAAAAGAAATAGGCAGAACTTACAAATGGTTAGAAAGAGAAGGCTTTGTTACTTTGGCAATATTTGTATGCCCCCCTATGCATCCATCTAGCCTCAGACTGCAGATTCTTCCCTCTTTCTATTTCCCAAGTGATGCCCAGGAATTCTAAATCCTTTAAAATCAGAATTGCTGAAACATTTGAAAAAAGCTAGGGTTGTCTGCATGAAGTGTGCATCTTGGCTCTTCAGGCTGGGAAAAGCAAACTCCTTTAGCAGAGACACCAATGAGCAGCTTTGGAGCAATTCACCTGCATAGTCTCGATGCCAGCTCCACTGGCTGTACAGCAACTCACAGCGAACTGGTATGTCAGTCATGGCGCACTGCACAGCCACCTGGGAGGGAGGGACAAGAGGACAGCTCACTGTTGTAGCTCACCAACCAATTCCCCCACCCCACAACAGAGCAGAATTGGGGGAAGACACCTGCAGCCTACAAAAGCTGACAGCTCCCATTCACTAAATATCAGGAAATGGGTAATTGCCACACAAAGGAACATTAAAAAGCAGAATGAGAGACATCTATGCTCAATAAAACATGCATTATTGCTGGAAAGAACATGAAGGCACCATCTGGCTATCAGAACCAACAGCTACCGACAGAGCTGCCTTTTACAGAAGCTCTGCAGCCGGCTCACATAGGAACATTATTTGAGCTGGTCCAAAGGCACCCCTGCATCATTGGATCATTTCACAAACTGAAATGGCTTCATTTTGAGAATGAGCATTTCTTTCACCCAGAGGACTGCAGCTACTCTGCCCCCTGCATCCCTGCCATCATTCTCCAATCTGGTGGCCTCCGGATGTGTTAGAATATAACTCCCAGCACCCCCAAGTAAGCATACTGGGAGTTGTATTCCAACATATCTACAAGTGGCCAAGCTGAGGAAGGATGGCAGCAGAGGGCGCTTTGAAGAATGTTTGACCCGAGGGCCAGCCCCTTTCTTTTCAGAAATTAATCACGGTTGAACTATACCACGGTACAAACATACCTGCCCCAAACACACTCCTCCCTCCCCACTCCCCCTTGCCTAGGTATTCGGTATACAGTGCACCCCGCAAAACCAAATCAAACAATTCCCATAACCTGGGCAGCTTTTCTGCCACCCCCCAACAATCTATCCATGCCCCAGGCAAGCACAAAGTTCCCATGTAAATGCGGCCCAACCGCTTTCCCTTCCCAGCAAGGATTTGAGCGAGGAATCAACTCCGACACATGGGGAGTCTTAACGGAGAGAGCGCCTCTGAGCGCACGCAGAGGACGTTTCTCTCACCAGGGAGCAATCGCGGGTCAGTAAGAGGGGACGGGCTTTTTGGGCAGGCTTCAGCCGCGGCCGGCGACTCCCCTTGCCATGGAGCTGGAGCGGTCGCTGCTGCGCCGTCCCGGCCCCAAGACACCCCCGCCCGACCGGAGGGGCGCTCCCCTTAGGCCCGCCGCTCTGCGCACCTTCGGCCGCACTCGGAAGCGCGCCGCCTCCCTGCCTGCGCGGGCCCGTCCCTCCTCACAACCTCCTACACGCCTGTTTGGCGTCTCTATGGAAACCAGGGTGAGCGGGAGCGCAGCCGCCGAAGGGACGTGCTTCGCCTATCCCCCTGCCCTCCAGCCCCAGTTTACAAAGGCGACGTCTGTTCTGAAGCGTTTGCAGGACATTCGGGGAAGGGGTTTCGCTATTGCCACAGCCATGGTCATTGTAGAAACCCCCAAAGTTTTCCTCCGCCCTGCGGGGTAAACTTGTGCCCTTTTTATGCACTGTGAACTCATAGCTTTTGCTTGAACTTGGGGTCATAAATGCATGCAGACAGATGTATGTTGGTTGGCCAGTAGAGTTGTGGGGAGCACGACCTTCCTCCCCAAGCATAGACCTCTTCTCACTTTCTCTTGCTCATGCAGTTTCTTCGTTGCCCTCTTGCATCAGGACCAGCCTTCATGAAGGCATAGCAGTCATCCAAGATCTCAGGTGATGTGAGAGGTAATGGAGTAGGACTTGGGCACTTGGCACTGAATGTGAACGGGTGATGAAGAAGCTACATTTGCAGTTAATCAAGTTCTTGTCAAGGATAATCATCTAGAGAAAGGGGGGAGTGAGCCTTTTTGGAACATGGCATAATGGCAAATGTCTTATCAGTGCAAATCGATCACTGTAGGTACAAGTACAGTTAAAGGGCCACACAGGTACTACCCATCCAGAATGAAGCCTATCTGAATGGGACAAGAGGCTCCCGCAACTCCCTGCCCTGTGAAGTGTGTGTGGATCCCTTTTTTGGGTGGGGGCAGATGGAGATTTTACTCCACAGGCTTTTGTAGTATGAGACAGATATGCCAACTACTTCTTTAGCTTTTTAAATTGTGATTTCTAAAGGTTGTGACTCCAAGTGATATTTTTACATCAAAAATGTGGCATGCATTTTTAAAGAATAAAAGGGATGCAGCAACCCTCATTTACCTTAGATGTAGCTCATCATACTGTTTCCCTACTGTCTCCAATAGATCATTTCCTTCTTGTGCTCACCCTCATGCCTGAAGTGTGGTCAGGATAGCCAGATTCAAGCATTAACTTTGCCCCAAACCTACTTTGCACTGTAAGCCCAGGTGGGATCCAGCAAGAGGGCTTCTTCTTCAGAACCAAACTTACCCTCTAACATTGAGGCCTACCTTGAAAGCAAGGGTGAATGGCATTGTGGAGCCAACAGCACAGAATTTGCAGAGAATGTTCACCTGTGACATCAAAGAATATCAGAACCATTTCACATGCTAGGCTTCCATTCTCCCAGCACCTTCACTTCCAACCATCCATCCATGGCCGAGATGGGCAAAAAGATGCCAGCCGTATTTATGCCAAAAGATGTGGTAATGCCTTCATTTTGTTATTAGCCTTATCCAAACACATTATGCAGGAAGTGCATATTGCCAAACTTTTGGACCGTACATAGAATGGGACCAACTGCACCAGAAGCAAGCACTGGTTCTAGCCCCAGCTAGATGAATTGGGACTTTCTCAGGGTGATTTCTCTCAGTGGTATCATGAATTACACTGAAATTGTCAGAGGCATGAAGCTTATATAAAACCACTAGATACTAAACACAGTTCAAGAGAATGACAACCCATGTTTCCTTCTCTTGACAATGCCACAAGATTTAGCATCCTATGTATTTATTTAGGTCTCCATCCCAGTGAAACCAGAATCTGGCCCTCCCATACAGGAGCTGCAGTTATACTGCACTCACACAATCATGCTTTCTTCAATGGTCTTGTGTCACTGCTTAGCATATTTGTATGGTTGTGAAGGTTGTGATTGTTGTAGGCAGCTGGTCCCCATTTTACCATATAGCTCATTGCATCAGTGGGCAGATTCTGCATCTCTCACTGCTTGGCTCCAGAATTATTTTATCTTTCTCCCTCCCTCATCACAATGAAGGAATTGTATGCATATGAAGCAGAACCTGGGGATTTCTTTTTCTACCAATAAGTCAGGTTGCATGAAACAGCTTTCACATTCATGTATAGATTACAGCTGAATAGTCTCTCACCCACTACTAGAAATGATGCATTTGAGGAACTAGCAAAACTACTTCTGCTTAAGAAAGAATTTGTCTTGAAGAATGGGCAAGCTGTGCTTTAGACAAGAGGCCTTGCTTGGGGGAAAAAGCAAAAATGGGATTGCGTTATCCATACATGCCTTTCTTCAAAAGATAATGAGAAGACTGATTCTTTGCCATTCAAGGAGGCATTAACACTCTGATGCGTAAGTTTCACCCACGGAAGAGTCAGCTTTAAGCACAGGACTTAATTGATGTAAGTTTGGTATTAAGAAAACAACTAATGTTGTATTATGCAAACAGTTACCTCATCTTCTTACATTTTCAACACATGTACACTGTCTTGATTTCTTTGGGGAAAAGGTGGAAACAAAACCATTAAATTTGATTAATGCAGCCTATTTCCAAACAATTTCAATATGTGAGCTTCAGTAACAAATTCTGCCCTTTGAGAAACCTCTTCACAACAGGGAGGCCTAATTGTTCACGTGAAAGCAGCAGAGAACACTAGAATTTCCTCAGCTTCATGGAACATGTTGTTCTTTGTAGGAAGCATGGAGGTGGGATACAGGACATGTTTCTGTAACTATCACAGGCATGACTACTACTTAATAGAGCACAGTCAAGTGCAATTGCTCAAGTGAATGTTGCCTGTTTTCCACAAAGATGTAGAAACAGTAAGCAACAAGGTACCAATTGCTATGCAAAATTCCTTTGTGGCAAACACAGGCTGCTGGGACACAACAAGAAATTCAAAGCATTTCCCAGGCCAGACAATAAAGCAAGATGGAACAGGTAGAACATAGCACACAACAGAGAAACCATGCAAGCACCCTTAGGTCAGGAGGCAAGGAAAAAAGGCTTTAATAACAGGGAAGAATAAGAAAATTACAGCAAGTGCCATAGCAAAAAGAACCAAGAGTTACAGATTCCAGCTCCGTCCCATTCTGATACATGGCCTGGCCCTCCCATCACAGCTCCCTCTGGCACAGGTGGGGAAGGGAACAGGAGCAGGAGGCAGGACTGTGCTCAGAATGCATTGATCCCTTTTGGGAGTGTGGGGGGAGAGGTGGGCTGGAGAGCGCAATCTCTCCAAAGACTGGGCTGACTTGGCACAGGGCACTGCCATCTCCAGCAGCCAGCTTGTCTGCAAAATCATGGCTCCAACACACTGCCAAGAAGGTAGATCAAGACAGTCACCATATGGACAGCCCAGAGTGGCAGAGCTCAAGGGCTGGCTGCTGATTCAGTCAAAGACACATATACTTCAGGCCTCATTTGCTGGATTCCCATATTAGAGAGAAAGGCAGCATTTTGTCAGCAACGAAGAGGCTATTTTTGCATGCACAACACTGACCTGAAACTCCTGCAGCAAATCCTTGATGAGGGCTGCTGGAGCAACCAAATCTCTTTCCCCCACCCCCAAAACTTCCCCACAAGGCCTTGGCCACTAGAAGACTCAAGTAGACGAATTACAGCAAGTGATCAGTCATTTTAAAAAAAAGGATATCAAGTCAACACAGTCTTAAACACGCACAGTTTTTTTCCAAAAATATTAAAAAGCACCCTCCCCTCCCCTGGGCACACTGGCGAGCATGGTATACATTAGCAGGGACAGCCCCCGCAGGTCTGGCTGCTTCTCATCTCACTCCCGCTCTATGACCCTCTCTGTAGCCACAGCACAGTAGCTATGCAGAGAGAATGAGAAAGCAAAGCTGTGGGTTCCAGCCCTTGGTCTAGAACTGTGAAAGGAAAAAGAAAGAGAGAAAGAGAACAAGATACTAATTAATACGAAGATGCATTACTCCAAATCAATACACTAAAACTTCTCACAGGCATGCTTCAGCAACCTTCTCTCTTTCTCACACACACACACTTTGCAGCCCAGGGTACAATTCTATGCATTTTAAGATATAAGTCTTACAAGCTTTTACAAGTTTAAACATGCATATTATTCCCCAGTGGGCTGACCAAGACATCTGAGCTACTGAAGCCATATTCCCTCTGACTGCTTACAAGCAAAGATGATTTTTATTGCATTCCTTGAGCTTTAAAGGCCACACATCCTTCCCTTAGGAACAAACTGGCGTTCCTCCTCAAGATGGTCACAATGCTTCTTAACCCAGATATTTTATCAATCTTTTCCCATAAATCTGTATCACCCCTTGAAGTCTCCCTTCACTAGTTTGATGTCTGCTGTGACATTGCCTTTTATCTCGGACACCTTGCATCTCTGCGAAAGTCACAGGGATTGTTCACGGGTTATGATGGCTTGTGTTCAGCTGTCTCCTCGAAGAGACCCTTCAAGCGGATGACCACGGTAAAGATGCTGTTTTACAAGCTGCTGTGCCTGCCCATACTGCCCATAAATATTCCAACAGGGCAATGGCTTCTTCAGCTGCCTTCCTCCGCGGCAGGGTCTCCCTGCTGAAATGGTGTCGAGCAGACACCTGGCCCCAGGCATCCCAGGTTTCTACAGCACAGATTGGGTGTGTGGGCCAGGCTGGATGCCAGTCAAGCTGTTCTGCCATTGTGGCTTACCTCTGCACCTGCTCTGCCTCCATTAAGTTAGCTTTCCAGCCAGCCACAGGTACGAGTCAGAGAGACTATGAAGAAGAGGAGTCTGCTTACCTGTAACTGCAGTTCTTCAAGTGGTCATGCGTTTTCTCACACAACCCAACCTCCTCCCCACATCAGGGTCAGCACACCCACCTTCTGTACTTGCTCTTTACCCTTTAGCTGCAGCTGCATGGGAGCTGTGCTGGAAGAGCAGGAGCCCCATCTTTTTCAGTTTACACTTGGGTGAGTTGGGGGACGGCTCCCCAACAAAAAAGTCACCCTAGAACTCTTTGAATGAGGCTCTGTGCAGGTCTGCCATACAGAGGAGTACCCAGATGACCACCTGAGAAAGCACAGCTACATGCAAGCAATCTTTTCTTACTCGCATAAGTTTGCACGGTGAGCTTCCATTGTGCTCACAGACAATATTACAAAGACATTTGTTGGTCCCAAAAAAGAGCAAAGAAAGTCTGGAACGCACTTCTTCATTTCATCTCTGAGTAATGCTGACTTTGCATGAAGGCCATCTTTATTCCAGTCTCACTCCCACATTACATTTCCCCCTTCCACACAGGAGGCTAGTCATCTGAAGACTTGCCAAACAACCTCCCACAATGCACTGAATTCCAGCACACCATCTGTGCATCATTTCTGAAATGCCGAGACCCTTACGTTCTTGAGGAACTCCTCCGCCACAATGCGAGCCCTGGCATTGACCGACAGCTTCATCTCGCTGATCTCCTTGTCAATTTCTTCCATGAAATGGATGACAAAGTCCACCAGCTTGTGCTTGTACATCTGCTCTGTATGAAAGTTTGTGATCAGGAAGCTGATGTCATAGCCCTGGGACAAAAGACAGCAAATAATTAGCATCTGTCAAGGCAAGACACACTCATTATTCCTCCTACTCACTTCGTCACCTACTCAGCACAGGCAGAAAATTAATTGCATCGCTCTTTGGCAAACACCTAGCAGAATGGGGCTTTTTCCTTCCAAAAGAGATATTTTATCTGCAGATACACACATGAGGGAGGGAGGGAGGGAGGGAGGGAGGGCTAAGGTGTTTCGCATATTATTATTTGAAGCTAATTATTGAAAAGTAAACATGAGAACATTGGTTCCCTGTTGGTTGTGCTCAGCACTTAGCTGCTGTTATTGCACCACCACCATCACGGGGACAGCCATCTTACATTCCTTTGAGTATGCAAGAGCAAACACACACACACTCTCTCACTCCGGGAGCAAACACAAAAATCAAGGCATTAGCATTTCCACCAACCCAGTCAGTAGGATTCTATTCAAACTCACCAAGCTTTAAGAACATGCTGAAAGCACTGAAGCGGCATATTTGAGCTGCACCAGTCCAATTATACAGCGAGCTCACTGCTAGCTAGTGCTACTGACTGCTAATACTAGCTTAGGAGGATGTCATTACTGCTAATCAAACTTTCCCTACAGATGCAAGACTCAAAGCAGTCTTCTCTCCACAGTGAACGCGTCTGTAACATTATGTGGGTGTGGCATATCCCCCACCTCAGTGCCACTGTGCCTACTGAACGAAGTATCTGTGTAAGAGATTGGCATTTTTCTCTGAAAGGCAGGAGCAGCAGCATCCTGCACCATTCCAACAATTCACCTCAACTGGTTTCCGACGTAAAATGAAGAAGTTCTCTGCTCTCATCATCATGAAACGCATAAATTTATGACACAGGATCTTCTCAATCTCATCAGCCTGCAGAGGAGATAAGGACATCCATCAGCATTTCTCTTGACACAGGTGCACTGACCACTCCCCTCTCCAATGCTTGGCTTACCTGTTTCACAGCAATGCTAACTCGTACAGAGTTGATGGACCCTTCAATTAAGACCTTCTCTTTCTCATTTCTGCTGATAATCACTGGCTGCAACAGGAGCTCCTTGCTGCTTCTGCAAATCCAGAGAGAAAGACTCGTACGGAGATCCAGGAAATACAGAGGGGCATATTTGGTTTTTCCTTTGGATAAATTCTAATGTAGCACAGTCAACTGAACCTTTTTTGACTGCAAGTAAACTCCTCACGGTTAAGAACACAGTTTCTGAATGCCTGGGCTGGATCAGTCCAAAGGCCTACCTAATCCAGCATTCTGCCCCAAAGTGGATGGATGCCTCTGGGAAGCTCAGAAACTGGACACGAATGAAACACTGCTCTCCTGCTCACGTTTCCCAGCAAATGGTGCTCAAATGATGCCTTTGATACCGGAGGTGGCACAAAGCCATAATGACTAGTTGCCACTGACAGCCATAATTATCATCTTCCAGAAGGGAGCTCTGCTCTTTCTGAATCTGCCACCACTCAACTTCACTACATGAGCCTAGGTCCTAATACTATGAGAAAAGGGAAAATTCTCCCTATCCATGCAAAACCATTTCTGCTTTCTAACCGTCCTTTGTGAAGGGGGAACTTTTCAAAGCTACTACTTTGCCTGCTAGAGGTAGAGAAGCTGACTTCTAATCTCTTCCCACTATCCCTGCAACTACCAACTGCAACTCAGCTATTATATATATAGTTGTTCTAGGAAAAGGCTGACAATGTGTAGGATGCAACCTAAGCCTTGTTCAGTGCCGATCCCTGCCCAAAGGAGGTGATGTACCACAGAGTAATTTAATTACCTGACCAGAAGAATATAGTATGTTCTTGTGAACAGAACCAGAACTAGTAAATAATATTTCTGCACAAAGTGCCATGTCAGAAGTTGCCTGTCCATAATGTTTAATTCATACCCCTCAGTCTAATACTATCTTCCTCCTCCTAGATGTAAAGATGTAAAGAACTCCACAGCTAGAGGTCAGACAGCTCTAAAATCTGGCTGCCCCTGCAACTAGTCAGAAGACTGAAGAGGTCTAATTTGGCAGTTTCAGCCATGTGGTTTTTAGCACTAGCCAGACCTGCAAGAGCTTCTATTTGCATATTATAGCTGCACTGCTCACTCCCACAAAGGTTACTGGATGTCTTAAACAGCAGTTGGGGAAAAAAGAATCATTAACTAACCTCAGTCTTTGTATTTGAAAAAGGAAAGCACAACGCACCATAAAATTCAGAGTGCCCCAATCGGGTCCAATAGACTGGAGCACTGGGCTGGGGACACCATATTTAAATGTTTACCTGGTACAGCTACTGCGTGGCTTTGGGCTCAGCACAGCCCACCACAGGACCCTATCCATAGAACACTGGCATTCCGTGCAGCTGTTGCAAGCAGGACAGGAACAAGATCTTAGATCTCACCAGTGTACACTGCAGGCCAGCTAATCCACCCTATGAATCACAGTGCATTAGTCATATCTGCACTGAGAGCTTAGCAATTTGCTTCACAACTGAGACCCTGCATTAATATTTCTCTAAGCATGGTACAAACATGATCTCAAGTAGGATACTATGTGCAACATACTCTTGCTACTTCAAGCTTTGTGGTTTCCCTTTTTGGTTCCACACAGGGTTAAACATCCATTTCCTGCAAGTTCTGTCTTTGTGTGAGATCATATAGAAATGTAAACCAATGCATCCATGCACTGCATTTATCCATGAATCAGTTATGCAGATTTTCAGAGACTAGCTAATAGCTTTAAATAGAGCAAGAAACCAAAAATATAATGCTCAAGAAGCTTTCATTTAAGAAAAAAATGATGGTTTCTAGTTGTTATGTAAACAGTTTCTACTAGAGATGGAGAAAATAGAGTCTGAACAAGTTTTCCATTTGCCAGCTAGCCTGTTTACCTTGTGAAGCAGGAAGCACAGGAGAACCTTAATATCAAAGCCTACAAAAACTTTCAACGCATAAAATTCTGCTGTAGTGCAAAACATATAAATTAAGTACAATCTGATCACATTCTAAATTGCCTCCCATTATTTCAACTATTTTTAATTTCTATGTCTGGAATATATGGAGATGCATTTTGAATAAAGAAAAAACAAGTTTTTGGAAGAACCATAAATATTGTTTCAGAATGTGCGCTTTTTAAAAAGCCACTGCATTCAAGTCTTCATATATGCTTGAGGAAAGGGCATAGCAGGGATTTCCCTTGGAGTGGGACTATAAAGCTGCTGCAGTTTAGCATTCTGATAAGTAGTCTGGAAGCAAGTTGAACTTACAAAAAGCTCCAGAAGCTCAAAAAAGTAGATCTCCGGCTATTTCATCAGAAATATGCTTTCTGCTTTGAAACATCAATAATGAAACTTCACAGAAAGCAGGCAAGAGGAATCAACCCTCAAAGGACTAGAAGCAACCCCTGATTACAAGCAACTACAAGGGAATTTAATGTACCTTGAAGAGTTTAAAAAAGAGATTCTGCAAATAATGGTGCAGGGAGGGGCATAGATAACTATCTAGCCTTCCTTAAGATCCAGAGGATATTATCAAGAGAAAATTGAAAGCCAAGCTGTGAACCAAGTTGCCTGTCATACAGGAAATGCAACACTGGTCACTTCAGTTATAACAACAAAGGTGGAAAGAAGATTGTCCCAGAATCACATAGTAACTCTTTCCTATATGAATCTATTAGTGTCAGTTTAAGAACAGCACATTGTGGTTCTATAGTAGCCAACCAGATTGGTGGCTATCTTGTGGAAGCAAATTCCATAGTTTAACTGTGTGAAGAATTTGTTTTTATTGCCCTCAATCTCCCACCAGTCAAATTAACTGGATAAGGCTGAGTTCTAGAATTATGAGATAAGGAGAAAACTTTCTCCCCAAGCACTTCTGTACACTGCGTATAATTTTATCACCTCTCTTTTGGTTCCTCCCTGCCCCACAAAACTAACGAGTCCCAAACATTATAACCTTTTCTCATAGAACAGTTTTTCTAACTCCTTGATCCTTGTGGTTGCTCTTTCCTGCATTTACTGGACTGATTAAACAAAAATCTTCTGCTTAACATATTTGTGCATGTATTTTACATCCTCAAGTTGAATTGTATGTAAGTTGGATCATGTTTGTCTTAACATTTAAGAAACACTTCCATATTCACTAAGACATCTTATATATACACACAGCATTGTAATAATGATAATAATACAATAATAATAAAGTAACTACAGGTGAGAGAGAGAGAAAATCTTTATTTTTGTGTTTAGGTAGGCAGTATTATAAAAAACAAACAAACAGTTCTTAAAACAGTTTAGAATGTGCTTTTAAATCAGTGGCTTAGAGAGTTAAATTAGGTCATTATCATTCTTGTATAGATTATAACAAGATCATGAATACGGAACATTCTGAGCATTTTAAAGTACTGTATGTTTTTTCGTTTGATCTGACTATACTTCTGAGTTGCTCTGCTAATTTACAATAACTTACAACAATAATAAAATGCCAAAGTTCCTATTAAAACCAAACCTAAAATATTACCTAACGGATTAGGAAGTAATGAAAACAACAACAGAAGAGAGAGAAGTCATCCAGACACCTCTGCTCCTGCTTTCCCAGAAACTGCTTTGCTGTGGTTCAGTTTCATCCTTGAGGCCTTTCCTGTGCCCCAGAATACCCTGGCTTAGGTACACTCATGCCAATGCCTGGAACAAAAAGCTGTGATTACTGTATCTCTAGGGAACTATGCAGCCACTGATGACATGTTGCATAATTCCCTAGAGATATTCACAGCTTTTCTCTGAAGATATTCATATAGGATGGAAGTCCATGCATTCGTAACTATAGGTTGTTCATAACTCGGACATTTGTAATGCAGGGACTATCTGTACCGAGGTTGTCCATATATCTCAGGCAAGCATAGCACATTGTAGCCAAATAGTTTAGTAACTCACCCTACATCAGATAGAGAAACAATGAGATTCCAGAATCGTGGAATTTTGTTTCATGTATTCCTTGTTTGAATCCAAGGACCAACTATTTTGCAGACCAACTAGATGCTTCTGGGAAGCTCACAGCAGGACATAAAGGAATCATTATTAGCTTCAGCTATGCTCATTGGTGTATCACCACCAAGCATTAAAGTTCTTCCCTTGCTAATAACCAAAGACAGAGCTATCCTCCCTGAATCTAATTCCCTCTTTATTGTCTTCTAAACTAACAGCCACCAACATACATTTTGACAGTTCATAGATTATACATTATGTGAAGTGTTTTAATTTTTGTTATTATTATATGTTCATTGGTTGGTTTTATACCTGGTTTTACTGTTATCGAGCTGTATATCATTTTACTAGTTATGATTTTGGGATTGTTATTGTTCATCTTTTGTGCTGATATTTTATGCTTTAACGTGCTTTAACGTGATGTAAACCTTCCTAAGAGTTTTTCAGCTAAAAGAATGGTATAAAAATGTTTTACATTAATAAATAAGTGCTCCCATCTGTTTCTTCAGAATCTACTGCCAGTCATTGTCAACTGGCCATCCTACTATTTAATATCATGGGAGATGCAAAAAAGATTCTCCATGTCCAATTTCTTCACATCATGCATCATCCTGTAAATACTTGTCAATGTCCCCTTCTAAAGTAATGTGTAAAGAAAAGAAAAAAATTGAGAATCCAATGGTAGGTATTGGTTCCAAAGGCAATAAAGGAGAAATCCAAAGAGCAGAAGAGTTAATTAAAACGTGAACAACTTAAAAAGTGAAAATTTCTGTGACAACCACACAGAGCAGTTGTGCCAAAACAAATGCTATGTGAAACTTTAGACAATGAGAAATCAAGCAGAAAAAATGCACAGATGTCACTCCACCTGAAGCCTACCCAAACAACGATTATTTCACTTTGGAATTAATTATGATCAGGACATTCCATCTTTCAGATCCTCATGACAACCTTCATACCATTCAGCTTCACATAACTCCTCTTACTATTTTCTTACTTTCCTGTGTTATATTTATTCCATTCCCTTTTTTAATCCTACCCCTTGTTGCCTCTGCTTTTGCAACAAGTCTTTCCAACATCATTTGAGGGTTTTCCCATCAATTGTCCTTCATAGCATAGCTTCATTACCGTTGTTTTAACAATACACTTTTTATCGTCTGTTTAGTGCAACTCAACTCTCTCTGAAAAACCAAAGAATGATGCAGCCACAAGAAAACTTTCCTGTCCCCCAGGTAGAAGTTATATAGCCATATTATTCTTCAATCCGTACACACCTGACTTCCACCTCAGGCTTGTTGTGCCGTTCCACCACTTGGGATGAGAAGTTCTCCAAGCACAGGGCAGCCTGCAGGGTAGCACGTACCGCATTGAGATAGGGGCGGAGGGTGGCAGTCTGTAATGAAAGAGGCAAGATATCAGAATCGTAAACTCTTCCTCAAATGACACAGCTTAGATGCGGCCCATGTTTTTTATGTATATGTACACAACGTATATACCACTTCATGGTCCACCATGGGAACAAATGAGAACAAAGGAACAAACAATATGTGTTAAAAATAATATCAGCAATATCATAACATAAAACCATGGCCAGTTAGAGCAGGAAGACTTCCTGAAATAAAAGTGCTTTTAGGAAACGCCAAAATTAGTACAGTGCTGGTGACTACTTGACCTCCAGAGTCTCATAGAAATGGAACAGTTGCATTAAAAGCTCTTCCCTGTTAGATTTCATGTGGAATCACCAGGGACAAGCTATCAATGACCTCAGGGAGCAGGCAGATCAATATAACCACATACCCTTTCTACCACGTGAATCTATGAGAGCACTGTGTCACCAACCACCACGCAGAGTCTTGCAGCACCTTAAAGACTAAGAACATTAAAATGCTGCAGCATTCTGCTGTAGACTAATAAAACTACAGTTCCGGAAGAATTAGCAATCACCAGTGGCGGCTTCTCGAAGCGTCGAGCACGGGGCTCTTTCCGAACGGGGCAACTGCAAGGATCCGGCTGCACCCAAACCACGCGTCGCTTAATACCCACCAGAATAACCTGACGACGTCTCCCTCTCCCACACTGGCAACCGACCACCCACTGACAGCCACCTTCCTCCTCCTCCACCGACCTAAGATCCTCCCTTCTCGGTGGGCGAGCTCGGCGAATTCACCTCCCCGGCTCCGTGACACCCCCACTGCTCCGTCCCCTCCCCGAAAAGCGACCCCAGCCGGCGCCCCCTCTTGGGCCACCCCGGCGCCCCTCGCCCAAGGGCCGTTCATTCCGCGCAGCCCGCGCTCATTCACTCACCATGGTTCCAAAGGCGGTAGCGGCGACACCTCGACTCCAAGCCCCGAAAACGGAAGCGGAAGTCACCCCGCCAAGATTAAAAAAGGTTCTATACTTCCGGAATGTCTGGCCCGTTCAAAAACGTTCTAAGTCTGGAGGGGGAATTCTAGAACCCCGTTGCCAAAATTCTTTTCACTTCCTTCTATTTATTAGAATATAAGTGGCGGTAATGAGACAAAATTACTAATATAACAGTCTGAAAAATCTAAATATCCTCACACGCGTGGCTGGCGCGCTTTCTTAACCATTCCTTTCCTTCGT